CGAGGTCAGGAGATCGAGACCATCCTGGCTAACACGGCAAAACCCCATCTCTACTAAAAATACAAAAAATTAGCCAGATGTGGTGGCACGTGCCTATAATCCCAGCTACTTGGGAGGCTGATGCAGGAGAATTGCTTGAACCCAGGAGGTGGAGGTTGCAGTGAGCCAAGATCGTGCCACTGTACTCTATCTAGCCTGGGCAACAGAGGGAGACTCTGTCTCAAAAAATAAATAAATAAAATAAAGAAAGTGTTCTAAGATATGAAGGAAACTTTAATAAAGGTGTGGGTGTGCACTCATGTGTACTGAAGTCTGTACCTGTGGCCCTACTTTGAGGTCATCGGATTGTACCCCCTTTCCCAAAGCATGTATTGGTGAACTCCCTTTTCTGTTTCCTTGGGGGCACTAAGCCAACATGTCCTGCTCTGCCCCTGTTTCCACACCCTGTCACGTCACCACAGTTCTACTATGCCAGGAATGTTACTGGAGAGGAGTGGTTCCATGACTCAGAGGACACCCCAGGGATTGAGTGGGAGTGAGGGCGCCCCAGGGACTGAGTGGGAGTTGATGAAATTAAAAATAAAAATAGTGGTAGTTGGTGAAAATAAAAACTGAAAATATAAAAAATTAGCTGGGCATGGTGGTGTGTGCCTGTAGTCCCAGCTACTTAGGAGTCTGAGGCATAAGAATCGCTTGAAACCAGGAGGTGGAGGTTGTAGTAAGCTGACATTGTGCCACTGCACTCCAGCTTGGACGACAAAGCGACACACCATCTCAAAATAAATAAATAAATAAATAAATGATACATTTTTTAGATGACAGATATGCTAATTATCCTGATCTGATCACTATATATTTTATGTATTGAAACATCACTATGTACCCCATAAATATGTACAATTATGTGTCAATTAAAAATTAAAATAAAATAAAACAACAACAAAAAGAGAACACAGCTTTAGAGTCAGCCAGACCTGAATTTGAGTGTGAGCTTTAAGGTCTTTTAGCTGTATTACTTTGGACCAGTTGCTTTACTTCTCTGAATCTCAGTTTTCTCATCTGCAAAGTGGGACTGATAACAATACCTATCTTTTAAGGTTGTAGAAGATTAAGAGATATAATTCTTGGCCAGGCGCCGTGGCTCACACCTATAATCCGAGCACTTTGGGAAGCCGGGGGGATGGGTCACAAGGTCAGTAGTTCAAGACCAGCGTGGCCAATATGGTGAAACCCTGTCTCTACTGAAAATATAAAAATTAGCCGGGCGTGGTGGCGGGAGCCTGTTGTCCCAGCTACTCGAGAGGCTGAGGCAGGAGAATCGCTTGAACCCGGGAGACAGAGGTTGCAGTGAGCCAAGATCGTACCCCTGCATTCCAGCCTGGGCAACAGAGCAAGATTCCGCTCAGGAACAAAAAAAAAAAAAAAGACCA